GATTGCATGCCCCCTTGTTGTCACACGAGCTACCTGTATTGTATTCATGGGCTTCCCATGTGTCTGTGTAAACGTTTTTGTGGCTATCACTGTAAGTATGAAAACTGAGATGTTTTTATGTGATGAAAAAGTGCCATATTAAAATATGTCATTTCTTCTAGACATCGATATTTTAAAATGCTTACATAGTTAGAATATTATAATAATATGCAAAGTGTTGTGTAAAGAGTGAAGTTCATTTTTATTTATGTAATCTCCCATATTGTAAAGTGTAACAGACCATACACCAGGTCAGCCTAAGAATACAACAATTGATTCTTCAAATGATCAAAAATCTGAGGAGGAAAATCATGAAGATCATCATCGACCTTTACAACCATTCAGTCAATATGCCTTATCTCTGCCTGATCCTGTAGTAGAGACACAAGTATGTTTTACAGCCACTCATTTAATTCATTACTTGTTATCACTGGTGATTTAATTAATGTTAGGATTGGATATAGGAAATATAAATGATTGGTCAGTTGTCCAGTTAATTGTTGTTAATGATCTGTATTGTGAAAGAATTATTAATGAACATTAAAACTTTTCCTACCTTGTACATTCTAAAGTTGTTTTAGTTTTTTTGCTAGTTTATTCTCAGGTTATGCCTGTTATCTATATCTTTTTTTTTATATGTTTGCCCCATACTTTGAGTTCAGTTATAAGGAGTAAAACTATGCCTTTCTTATATCTCTAAATGTTTTAATTTTCTGCTTGTTTTATATTACATGTATCAAAAAAGTTCAACACATTTTTTTCTATAATGAGGCTTTAAGTTAGAGTTGTCTGCAAAAAGCATTAAAACAATAAAAAGCAGCATCATAGGCCAGTCATATTGGATCCTTAAGAATTGCCCTCTTGTTCATGAATTTCACTTCTATTGTCATTTGTTTTTTGTCATTCTTTCCATTATCTTTCTTTCCTCCTCCTTGATACATTTTTTAGATAAACCCACCATCATTAGATGAATACTAGATCAAAGCTTCTTTTGGAATTATTTTTCATCAACTAGAAATTTCTCAACTTGGGATATTTTAAGTTAGTTTCTTGATTCAGAATGCTAAATTCCTTAATATCAGTTACATTCAACACACATTGTAATGCAAGATATAAATATATTGGCCACAGTAGCTAAAATACAGAGTGCACAAGCTTTTCCACCAGGTTAATGAGATTTCTCAGCATTTTAACCAAATGAACTACCTCTTGATTTAAAATTTATTAAATCTGTAAAAACACGTTGCTGATCATTATAACTTGAAATTAGCCACAGCCACCATGTGGTTACATGCTAAATCATAATGCTAATGCATACGAACTCTCGGCTAGGGTGATAATTTGCTGTTATCTTTTTTAGATATTGTCCATCTGTGTTCTCTTCAACTTTAGTAAGTGGATTATTTTCTGTATTACATATATATGCATTATCATATGATGAGAATTATTTTTGCTTTGTGTTTGATGACATAACTATTTCTGTTTAGTCATGTCACCTACTCGTGCAAGAATCTTAAGTTTTGCTCTCAGGACACATCTTCATTGAAGATAACAGAATAAATCTCCATAAGACAGCAGCTGGAAACTGTCTCTTGTAAAATAGCTAACTGCAGACCCGTTTTCTAGGTTTTGGGGGTTCACTATGATAAAGTATTTGATCACATTATAAATAAATTGCTTTATAATAAAGGTTTGTCCAAAATTGTCTTTCCTATTTTAAAATTTAATCATTAAATAACTAAAAAAATACAACCAAGCAGGTTTCAATATCTTTTAGCCCATCTGAAACAGTTTTTATTGTAATGTTGTTTTTCACTCCTGTGAGTAGTTTTATCCTATACAATGGTAACTGTGCAAGAAAAGGCTCACTGTGATGGATTGGTTGGGGTGAGCCAATTCTGTAGCCTCCACATTCACCAGAGATCACTCCACTAGATTTTGTTTTGGGGTGAGGGTGGAGGGGATATGTGAAGTACATCATGTATCTTACATCTATAGCAAACATCACAGACATATTGCAGCAAATGTAGACTGAAATCAAATATTAGTTAGTGATGCTGAGAACAACTAATGGTGCACATGTAGAAGTCTATTGACATGTCAATAAAAAGTGCCTGAGCTGGGCTACAAGAGGTTGAAAACTGTATGGCTGTCATTGTTCAGTTATTTGATTATTTTGGACTACCCTATATATCATTTATTTGAATATATATAT